TGATTGATCTGTGTCAGTGGAGAGCTAGAATAGGATCATGGAACTGTTCCCGCCATTGGAGGCAACCCAGTGCTTGTACTAGTACTAGTAACACTTACTGTGGAGCTAGTGCTGGTAATACTGGTGCACAACAAGTGAAGACCCCTAGACTTGTTTTGTCTATTTTTTGTCTTCTTATCCTCCTCTTCATATCAGGAGATGTGGAACTTAATCCTGGACCCACTCTTACAGGTAAGGCTAATCTATAGGAACTGTAGTCTAGGGTTTATTATACATCATAATAGATAAGCCCACAAGAGATGAGTTGGTTGAGTTATTGAGTGGCTCAAAGTTTACTGCTGGTACTTGGGAACAGTTTGTCTGTTGTCTTCCTAACATGACACAAGATATCGTTACTGGAATCAAAGAGGGAGGGTCAATAGAAGAAGACACCATGAGTGCTGTAGCTCAACACTGTCTTGATAATAATCCTGATATATCATGGAGAAAAGTCATTGATGCTTTGCTGGATGCTAGTGAAACTACAATAGCTCGTAATGTTTTAGACAAGCACTCAGGTATAATAGATAGTATGAATAATTTATGTTCATATGACAATTATTTTAGGTACAAGTTCCAGTAAAAATGTCTGCAGAACAGTAAAGCAAGTCCTAAGAAGTCATTATTCCAAGTTAATGGAAACTACTGAAACTTGCCTTCTAAAAGTAGCCAGTGAGTTGTACAGCAAAAATTTGATCAATAAAGAAGTTAGGCATTCACCGACTTTTGACAAAATTGAAATAGATTTCTCAGCAATGGTTTCCTTATACAAAGGGGATGCACAAAAGATGATGGAGGTGTGTTCCCTTTTTATAGACTGCCTGTCAACTGCAGGAGGTCCTGCTCAAGAGGAAGCCATGGCACTAGCTAGAGACTGGGAGAATGAAGTATTTAAAGATCATGAAGTATCATTCTCTTTTGCTAAGGCAGTCACAGAATTTATTCCTAAAGAAGTACAGCTTAGCTTTAATGATGATAAGCTAGCAATTGAGCTTGGGACTATGCATAAAAGATATGCAAAGCTGATGACTGATATCACTACGTATTATGCTTCCAGTGGAAAATATGACCCAATTGTTATTGCTCGATGGGTTGAAAATTATTATTCTGATGAAAATGACCTTGATCTGGCACAGGTTGGTGTGACTGTTGATAAGATATTCAAACAAATGCGACCTCATCACAGTTTTATTGATATTGAGCTAATAAGGGATCTTGTGGAAGAATACCCAATAGATGATTCAGCATTGCAAGCCAGGTTTAATAAATATAGAGAAGATATTAATGAATTTATTGATGCAGCAAAAATCAATTGTATTATGACGTCTATTAGATCAGCAATAATTGGGGAAAGTACCAAAGTTGATCCTAAAATAATTCTCAAACTGTCTGAAGAATGGAGCAAGCGAACTGTTTCCCATCTTCGTGAGCTATTAAAGTTTTTATTTGATGATGAAGAAAAATATATTACCATAAAAAAGTTTTTAAAAGGATCAATTTCTATACAATTTTTAGTATTTTCCAGACCAGTAAAACCTCTTATTATGAAATCCCAGACTAAAATTCCCTTCTTGCATCTTATTGGTATATTTCAGCTGATCAT